TGTTAAGATGTTAGAACACCAAACTGAAACCTTTTGCAAGGAATCGTGTCTGCATTAACCACACACACTTGGGGGTGAACATGCTCTGGTAGTCTATGATGATGCATTGTCTTTGAAACTGATTGGTCCACACCAGAGACAACTTTCTTTAGAGCCAAGTCTCAAACAGTGTTAGACCAGAGGACGCCACAAGGCGACCAGCACAATGACAATGTCACTATGAGGACAAACTGTGCCTACACACCCTCCCGCCATGGTCTTGTGGGAGCCTCGGTACCGATGAAGTTATTTGATTTTTTTTCTTCCGTCAGAAAAGGGTTAATCACAAAAGTCTGAACGTGTCCGTGACATTCGACCCCAAGCTTCCACCAGCTGTTTGTGTCTACGATTAGCACGGTTGGCTAACATGAAAGAAGTTCAACATACACACATCGACTAGCACAGATACCCATAGACTCACACAGAGACCCACACAGAGACCCATAGACTCACACAGAGACCCACACAGATACCCATGGACTCACACAGAGACCCACACAGAGACCCATAGACTCACACAGAGAGCCATAGACTCACACAGAGACACATAGACTCACACAGAGAGCCATAGACTCACACAGAGACACATAGACTCACACAGAGACCCATAGACTCACACAGAGAGCCATAGACTCACACATAGACCCATAGACTCACACAGACCCAGACTCGCACAGATACCCATAGACTCACACAGAGACCCATAGACTCACACAGAGACCCATAGACTCACACAGAGACTCATAGACTCACACAGAGAGCCATAGACTCACACAGAGAGCCATAGACTCACACAGAGAGCCATAAACTCACACAGAGAGCCATAGACTCACACAGAGACCCACAGACTCACACAGAGACCCATAGACTCACACAGAGATCCATAGACTCACAGAGACCCACAGACTCGCACAGAGACCCACAGACTCGCACAGAGACCCACAGACTCGCACAGAGACCCACAGACTCGCACAGAGACCCACAGACTCGCACAGAGACCCATAGACTCGCACAGAGAGCCATAGACTCGCACAGAGACCCATCGACTCGCACAGATACCCATAGACTCACACAGAGACCCATAGACTCACACAGAGACCCACAGACTCACACAGAGACCCATAGACTCACACAGAGACCCATAGACTCACACAGAGACCCATAGACTCGCACAGAGACCAATAGACTCACACAGAGACCAATAGACTCACACAGAGACCCATAGACTCACACAGACCCATAGACTCACACAGAGACCCATAGACTCACACAGAGACCCATAGACTCACACAGAGACCCACAGACTCACACAGAGACCCACAGACTCACACAGAGACCCACAGACTCCCACAGAGACCCAGACTCACACAGAGACCCACAGACTCACACAGAGACCCACAGACTCACACAGAGACCCACAGACTCACACAGAGACCCACAGACTCACACAGAGACCCATAGACTCACACAGAGACCCACACTCACACAGAGACCCATAGACTCACACAGAGACCCACAGACTCACACAGAGACCCACAGACTCACACAGAGACCCACAGACTCACAGAGACCCATAGACTCACACAGAGACCCATAGTTTGTTGTCTTTCCCCTGCGCTTCCGATTAGCACAGTTGGCTACCTACCGTGCGAAATACGTTCAACATACACACAAAACACGTTGACGGGAGGGGATTCCAAAGCTAAGCATTGTGAGCAGGGAAAGGAGCGGGAAGAGATGTCTTGCCCTGCGGTGGTGGTGGTTGAACACAGTATGGATGAGAGGAAAGAATCAGTCCGGGAGACATAGTCCTCAACACGAGTGGAGGAATCGATGAGTGAGGTTCATGGGCAAGAGTGACCGTGGTAGTAGCGACAGAAGGGTGACATGGGCACGAGTGACCGGACTGAATCGGCGAGTATCCGGATCGGCAATCAACCGTCGCTGTGAAAAGTAACGTGCGTCATTATGAATTCGGCCAATTTCATTTGCAGCAGCAAATTGAGAAGATGTGCTACAAATCTGCCTTGCTTTGAGAATTTTAAAAGTGCCGTACTTTTTGATCGAGAAGCTTGTTTATTTATTCACGGATTATATCCACTCGGGGAGGGGGGTGGTAACTCCAACAACACCAAGCAAAGTTTAAATTTCGATTTAAAGCTTTCGTGACTGCAGGGATTCATCTTCTTGGCTCTTTCGGTAAAGTCACGTAGAAGGGAAATAATTAAAATAAAACATAATAAAATACAATTCTCACGACGTTTCGGCCACAACGCAAGCTCAGACGCTGTCTTTCCGACAGACCTGTTCTTCACCTGAGGACGTCTGCTTGCGTTGTGGCCAAAACGTCGTGAGAATTATTTTATTATGTTTTATTTTTATTATTTCCCTTCTACGTGACTTTACCGAAAGAACCAAGAAGGCAAGCAAAGTTTGTTTGCAACTTCCCCCTTTTCCAAGGCCGCGTTACATAATCGCAGCCGTCGCACTTAGGGGATTGAATTGCAACTGTGCGTACGCGACAATTTAGTACGGATTCAAAATTCCCGTGCGGTAATAATCGGCCGCCGTGGGAGGGGAAGACAGCGGGGGGCGAGTGCTTCACACGGAGGCGCGTGCCATTCTCCACTCGGTCGATGTCACAGGAACTCAAGTGGACGACGCCAAGGCGATCATTGCGGCGAGCAGCCTGAAGATCCTGGCATGCGACGACTTGGACGAAGCTGCTAAAATGGTGAGGAAACGCTCCCGTCTCTCTTCCTCCGTCTCGGGTGGGGGTCGATCCCGCCTGCAACTTCTCATTTGCTCCCAGAGCAGCAATCCCCCGCTGTACCTTCGCCGCTGTAAGCAAGTGCCGACGTCCGCGAGACCGTTTACAAAAACACGAACGCCCTCGCGCAGTCGAGCTTATCGATACCTTGAACGAGAGAGGTGGGGGGAAAAGTAAATGTATTGGAGTGGCAGAGCACAAACTCGTTTCGGCGTAAGGAAGGGGTGGGGGTCCCGTTTGTAAATGGATTATGCTGCTAACATCGCTATTCCACCGCCGTTTGTTTACTTATTGCCCCCCCCGCCCCCCGCCTCCTCCTCTTCCTCCATCTCAGAGATTGTGTTTCGGCACCTGCTGTGCCGGCTGAGAGCATCTGTCTCGGAAATTTTTGCGGGAATGCGAATTATAGATGCGCGCGTACGCACGCACGCGCGAATAACCGTTCGCTTGCCCCGTTTCGTTTGCGGGCGCGTTTAACGCGAGCCGGACGATTTTCCTCCGCAAGCGATTGTTTACAGAAGTTGAATTGGTGTGCTTGTGTGATCGTTTTAAAATAATCCAGCAAAAAAAAAACCCGACCCTCAAGCCGTGATTGTAAATGTCCGTACGTTGAATTTCTTTTGCACCGTACGTAGCCAACCGTGCGAATCGGAGGTGCGGTTTTTCATTTGGTCACAGTCAGTCAATGATGTTCTGCTTCTGAGCATGGCCTAAAATAGAATGTTCCCGGTGTGTAATTTAATTCAAAAGGTAATTTATATGAGAGTGCTATTGTCCCTATTACTGTTTCCATCAGAGAGCTATACTCTAAATTTCGATTTAAAGCTTTAGTGACTGCAGGGATTCATCTTCTTGGTTCTTTCGGTAAAGTCACGTAGAAGGGAAATAATAAAACATAATAAAGACAATTCTCACGACGTTTCGGCCACAACACAAGCCAGCCGTCCCTCAGGTGAAGAACAGGTCTGTCGGAAAGACAGCGTCTGAATGAACACCACCACGCTTGGCAGCGTATATTTAACCCCCCCCCCCCCCCACCTATGCATTCCACAAGTAGTGACTAATCCCATATCTGCATTTTCCAATTCCTTTGTCAAGGCGCCCTTCCTCTAACCCAGCTTAAATATACGCTGCCAAGCTTGGTGGTGTTCATTCAGACGCTGTCTTTCCGACAGACCTGTTCTTCACCTGAGGACGGCGGCTTGCGTTGTGGCCGAAACGTCGTGAGAATAGTATATTGTTTTATTTTTATTATTTCCCTTCTACATGACTTTACCGAAAAGAACCAAGAAGATGCATACGAGTGGTGTAGATAGATTGAGGCAAAAAAATGTTGCACTGGGTAAGACACGTGTTATGTACAGGATAGGGGGGGGGGAGGGGAGAGCAAGAACTGTATTGGAATGGTTTCCAAGAATTCCGACAACCACGCAAGAGAGACGGTTGTGAGGACACGATTCGGGCAGCTCTTGGAGCTCTCGTGTCCGAGGGCGCAGCGGATGTTGGGCTCTGGAGGAGGGCGGAGGTCAGACGGCTCCGGCGACAAATCCACATCCGTGTTTAACCTGCTCCCCCCCCCCCCCCCCCCCCCCCCTTTTGACTTCGCAGGTTGTCAAGCTGTCCGAGATCGTGTCCATCGCCAGACAAGCCAATGTGGATGTAAATTTCCAGCTGCCTCTGTAAACCGGACGGCGCGGTTTAACATTTAAACCTGCCCGGCACAGCTTGTTAAGACAAGCCTCCCCTGACCACTCGTTTGTATTTATTTCGCTCTCCGCGATAATCCTTTGGGGGTCCTAAGGTGAAACGTAAAACACATTTCTGCGGTCTGCAATGGATTTCATTAGACGTGGTTTTTCCCCCCCTTCCGGGTGGGTGCTCAAACGGGGAAATAAAATCAAACGTAACCACAGGCAAAGTAGCTGCTCTCGCCCCGCACAAGTTATTGCACGCTCTTGTGAATTCAGTTTTTTTCTCCCTGCCAAGCCATGTCATTCGTGAGTTAGATACTGTATGCGCAAGGCTCTCCCCCCCCCCCCCCAACGTTAAGACACTTTGTTGTGCTTGAAGAGAATGAACAATGCCGCTGTGTGTTTGTTTGTGGTGTTGGGCCAAGGTTGTCGCCCCCTTTGATGGAAAATGTGACTTGAAACAAGGAAACGTTCAAACCATAAAGTTGTGGCTCACCGACTGAAGTTACGTCTTTTATTTGAGTCATTTCCGAAGTTACACAAAACTGAACCAGAAAAAAACCAATCTTTTACACTGGGGTTTAAAGTTGTAAAAATGAACGAACACTGAGAAAGAAAACTTTAACAGAAGAAAAAAACAACTTTTGCAGATTATTCTTCGAATCGATCGCACACCGCACCCTCGTGGTGGTGAGGTGCGACCTCCCAGCTTCCACGGTCATCTGCGATACAAAGGAGAGAGTGGGGGGGGGGGGAGGAAAGGGCATTGCTGCTGTTGTTACCAAGTCACAGTGGGTTCCCATCCAGACAGTAGCAGCCTCCCCCACCCAGTGACAAGACATTTCCTGAATCCATTGGTCACCGTGTTGAGCCTGTTACAACATCCTGAATGTGCATCATACGTGTGGGTTGTGATGACACTTGCGCCCTAATTAATAGCGATGGGCGGGCACACCCATGCTCCTGAACTCCAGAGCAGAGTTTTATTTGAAAACATTTTCATTCGTTTCCTTGCGAGGAAGAGGGTGCGTAAGTTTGATTCCTGACTGGGGCGCCTTTTATGCTGACGGCAACCTCCGGTTGGCACGGCTGGCTACGTGCGAAAGTCGTTCAACATGCAACGCAAAAAATGTCTTCACGTCACAGTTGTCTAGATGTTGATCAAATTCAGGGCCGTGCAAAACCAACACTGGATCTTCAGAAACAAAAATCCAGGCACCACCTCCCCTCACTCTGCAGTGTGTGTGTGGTGTGGACTTTGTACGTTCTCCCACTGTTCTGCATGGATTCTCCGGTCTCCTCCCATAGCTAAACCCCCAATGGTATTGTCAAAACATCCCAATGCTAAACCCGCAAATGACTCGATTGTAATTACACGCAAAGCAGCAACACGGTAGCACCAACTGCACAAAAGCTTTGGCAGAACCTCTAAAAAAAGTATAACCCGTAAAAACAAAGTTTCTCACTATAAATCCTTTATATGTGTGGCGGCTAGAGTCCTCTCGTCCTCTGGCTTGAGATGGCTGCCACCTATGGGTCAGATGATTGTCTGCAGTATTAAACAATTGGTAATTAAATATTTAATTTGTTTTCCCTAAACAGTGTAAAATTTTGGAAAAAAAATTTCACGAACATTAATTGTCTCGCACAACGAGTCTGTGTGCAAAATGTCAGCTCGATTGGATCACGGGAAGTGGGTTAAAAAACGACCGAAATGTTTGCACGGTCGTAAGCAAGCACGCAAGCAAGCGAACTTAATATAAAGGATTTTAAAAAAGTCTGGGGACTCAGCCAGCCTTGCCTGGGTAGATAAGCATAGCAAGAATATCCAGCGAGGTAACACACAGAGGCACCCAATCTCATTTTCAAGGTCCCATTTGTGCACGCATCATAGCAAATATAAAGACAATAACACGTATGGAAATTATTAACACGCAACGAAATGATTAACACGAATAAAAACTGGGTCAGCTGCTCACGCGTTCCTTCTCCACAATGCTCCTGTGCCTCCTCTCCAATCATCAATGTCGATTTGTCCTTTCCATCACCACCTGCCATCTCATCAAGCCTCCCCACCCCTCTTTTCCTCCTGCCCTGCGCCGCTGGCGTGGCATCTCTGAAGAGCATTTTCCTTCAAAACCCCTCGATTTTTTCGAGGCGCGTGACAGCGCGCATGCACGCACGCACGCAGGCAGGCCCGCGGTTCCCGTCACCGACCTTCCGCGTCTCGCGGCACTTCAATGACAGATTTGCAAGCGAAAGAGGTCAAGTCAGCCACCGTCATTACTTAAGCAAAGTTTTACTTTTCTAAGCCGTGTGAGAATGTTATCTTTCTCACCCTGGGAATGACACCAAGCATTAATAATATTAAATCAACACACGGCGTCAAGAATATTACGAGTGCATGCCATGGAACATTAGGCTACCATGCGGGGTCAGGACATGTTTCCCCTGCACTAAACGGCATGGAATTTGCCCCCCCATCCATTTCCTACAACCCACTTCATAAACTAAACTATTTTACCAGGTAAGACCCACTGAGCTCTTTTTTAGAAGTGACCATGCCCACAAACGACAACAAAGTGGTCCATCACGTGGAAATGTATAGCATCCAAATACTCTTAAACGTGTGACGTTGATTCTAAATGTGGAGGAAAAAACGGAGGACCCTGAGATGAATCTACGTGACCACAGGGAGAGCAAGAGACATGCACATTCAAATATACAGCAGGCATCAGGGTCGGTATTGCACCCACGACCTCCTGCATAGCAGGCGAGGTAGTTAACATCTCCAAGCCACAGTGATGACAGAGACACGCACAACTCCAAATATGTCGGGATAGAACCCAAGACCTGAAAACCAGGTGAGGTGGTTAACGGCTCCGAGCCACCGTGATGATGAGCGACACAAACTGCACATGTACAGCAGGTGTTGGGGTCAGGATCCAGCCCACAAACGTCGCACAGCACCTGGCCCCCTTCTGGTCTGTGGGCCCAGGTACAATAGTAACACCAGCTGCACACTCATGATGACTACAGTTGAATCCCAAGTTGCTTGTTTATTGACAGAAAATAACACCCACAAAAGGCGTGCATTGCAGGGTACTTTTGTTGGCATGCAAGATGACGAGCTCGGTGATAAACTTAAAAACAAATTGTTTGCCTCCCGATGCAGCTGGCAAGAGGAATGTTGAATCCGAACACATTCCTCCTGCGGAGGGAGCTGGTAGGAACGTTGGGTTGCTCGGTCAATGGCCAGGGTCAACGGCGACGTGGTGTATTCCGCAAATATGCCCGACTGCGAGGGCGGGCACAAGCTGGCGTGAGTAGGTTAAACGTTGAGTTTTATAAGGGCACCACGGGGTGACCAGCCCCTCCCCACCCAGCCCCTCCCCACCCAGCCCCTCCCCACCCAGCCCCTCCCCACCCAGCCCACCATCCCCACCCAGCCTCCCCCCACCCTCCCCTCTCCACCCAGCCTGACCCCTCCCATTTATGGATGCACAACGGACGGACACAATAATCCCCTGTGGGCTGGTGGAACCAGGTGGTTCCTTCCAGTATAATTCTCCACCGCTGCATTCCAACGTTGCTATTGGTGTAATGTCATGAGAACTGTCGCGTCACTTTCCAACTACGTCGCCGCTCTCCATCTACATCCCCGCCCTCGACCGGCTTCTTTGCAGTCCAAGCAGCATGGGTTGTCTCATATGCCCACGGTGAAATCTAAACATTTGTATGGACCCACCATTGGAACCTCATTTGCCAGTAAAAATATGATAATTGTTTTTTTTACCCTTTATCTGGCAACAAAACTGACACCTTTTTACAAGGAGTCATGTTTGCATAGATCGCAATACCTGCAGTCGTAACGCAAACAAAAAACACAACTCTGATAATGTGCACTGTCCTTGAAATTGATTGGTCCACACCCGAGACAGCTTTCCTTAGAGCCTAGTCTCACATGGGTTGGACCAGATGACGCCAAAAGGCGGACCCACCAAATCTTACTTCCCAAAGGTAGTGGAGATTACATGTTGGCGCACCACCACAACCGACCGGCAACCACGTGCTGAGCCAGAGGTGGATCTAGAAACTTTCCAGGGGGAGGAGGGCTGGGGACGATCGCCCCCCCATCACCGCCCCCCCCCCCTGCCACTGTGGGGTCAGCTGTGCCTGCTGCAAGCCTGCGCTGTAAACCAGCGGAGACAATACCGCTTGGGGCTTCCTTCGGAACGGACGTTTATTTTTTAATATGCGTTGGTGAAAGGGCCAAGCAATGTGAAACACAGAACTGGTTCTTGAGACGTGGCCTCTAATTAGGCACACTAAGTCAGAGCTAATTAGGGGCAGGTGATTTCATCTCGTCTTAACGGGAGCTCTGGTCTTTGGAAAAAATAATGTAACTGTTACGCAACGCATTAATTATTAATCGGGGACACTTGGCAGCCCATCACCCACCGCCTCCGCGTTCATTTCGACGGCTGCCCAAATTAACAGCGATGGGCCAGGCGCTCGCTCTCCGCTCGCTCTCTAACGTGCTCGCGAGAAAAGAGTTTCATTTGAAAACTCTTGATTTGTTTGTTTTGCGAGGGGGGCTGGTTTTTGTTTTCCCGGCTTTTCTTCGCGAGAAAATTTTTCTCACCGACGGTGCCAGGTAAAACTCGCTCCAACGTGGCCAAGGGCATATGCGTCTTAATGAAGTCACGGCAAATTACATTTTAGAATCCCTTCAACAATACGCTGGCTTATGCATAATAGACAGGAACTGGAAACCGTCAAAAAGTATTGGCGCGGTGGCCACGTTATGAAACAATGCAGGGAAATAAATCGTCGACGTATTTTAAGTTGCTTCAGAGTCTAAAAATAACCTTACAACTTTGGCACAGCCGCTTAAATCCCTACGCTACATAGCATAAATAGTATAAATCTCCCCACAGATTCCGTTGATAAACAGCCTCATTAAGCGCTCTGACAATTTGAGAACATTTAGTTTGCTTCAGTAGAAAGCACGTTCTAGGGAAATCTAAAAGGTCCCACCACAGGATTTTGTTGTTGCAAATAAAGGTTTTTACATTTAACAATGCACGCGCAGAGTTGTCATGTTTCGATTAGATACTGACAACACAGCCTGGCATCTTAAGCCAAAATTCCAATTTTATTGCGTGCCGTGATTCGGCTTCCCGCACGTACCCCCCCCCCCCCCCCATCTCTCAACTCCGTGCGCCTCCGGCTGTCGCCACTGAGCTCGGGACTCACAAGACGCTCCCCCCCCCGCAAGTTTTATTTCTTGAGCCGCCCGGGTTCCTCCGTGGAATAAATCGCACGATAAAAAGAGCACCCAAAGTCTCGGGGTTTTCTGAAAATATAAACTGGCAGGGGGCAAAATACGCGTGGGGAAATTGAAAACGACCCCCCAAAATTGCACGACAACAAATACAAATATATAAATATATTTCACGGGGTCTACTGATGTTCTTGGTTCTTTCGGTAAAGTCACGTAGAAGGGAAGTAATAAAATAATAAAAATAAAACAATAAAATAATTATCACGACGTTTCGGCCACAACGCAAGCAGCCGTCCTCATTATTTTATTACTTCCCTTCTACGTGACTTTACCGAAAGAACCAAGAAGATGACTCCCTGCAGTCACGAAAGCTTTAAATCGAAATCTACTGATGTTGTTTCTAGCCGTAATGATATTTACTTAAGATGTATTCAACGTACGTCCACGTCCCCCAAATCTTCACCTTTGTGCGTTGAAATTTTTGAACGCCACCGCACGCACGCACGTGTCATGCGGAAGCCCCTCAACGCACGACGACGCTACCGTGCGCCGGTAACGTGGCATTATTACTCCGTTACGGCTCCCAAACGGTAATGCAAGCACCACATTTTTTCATATATAATTTTTTTTACACAAGGCGCATTCAGAGGTGCTGTGCGTTTGAATCGTGTTTTCCATCGATCGCGCATTATTGGAATTTGCATGTCCACCAACGCTTATTAAACAATTAAACAATTTATGTGACCAGGTAAGGCCCGCTGAGCTATATAGCTCAGTTTCAGAAGTGATCTGGCCACAAATGAAAGCTCAACCAAGTGGCTTATCACGTGGAAATGTTTTGCAGCCAAATTCTCTCAACGCACGATGGACGATTCTAAATGTGGAGGGGAAAAACCGGAGGGCCCAGGAGGAAAATCCACAAGACCACGGGGAGAACATGCAAACTCCAAACATACACGCGTTAACTACCTCGCAAAACAGACGAGGTAGTTTACATGTAGCTCCCTTGGCGCCAGGGCAATCATTGCCGCACCATTTTCCATTGTAACAAAAGTATTCTTTCATCTTTCGTAAATGAAATTCCCCATCGATTGTACCGTCGGTGTCGCATCAAGAGATTAAGTATTCAATCGGATCTCTGGCAAAGAAGTGTGCAGCCCTTTGTGGTTAAATAAGGGCCTGTGGAAGTGGATATCACGGAGATGCCGCTGAGATTCCTTCCAGTAGAAGGCAGGCACTTTCCCACTCGGCCTGCATATGAGAATGAGGCTCACCACATGACAGTCGAGCCGATATGTTAATTCTCAAAGCTGGATTTTTTAAAAAAGAAATTAAGCGCGAAATCAAATTTACTGTCAAGGTTTTTATTGTGCAGCCATCGGCGACTTGAGCTGAGAAACCCATCGACTCGCGAGACTGGAACGAGATTAAATCGCGAGGCTTCTAATCCAGGATCTCGACATTGCCGGCTCTCTTGATGTCCGAGCATAGCCACATCCTTCTCCAGTGGCGGGCGGGGGGGGGGGGAAACAAAAACATCGAGTTACCCAAATCCGGACAAATCTGATCGCGGCTCCCTCTCGTGGGTAAATTGGAATCGCAACTTCCAAAAGGAGTCGGATTCAGCGGCGATCAAAGGATACTGTTTGAATAAAACTTTTTCAAAAACAGAACGGGTTACTCCATTGCAATCGTCTGAACAGGTTTCCACAGTTGCTCAAGAGTACATACATTTCATGGGACCTCCTTTGCCAGTATCAAAATATACTAATAGGGTTTTTCCCCTTTTTTCTGGCAACAAAAACTGACACCTTTTGCAAGGAATCATGCTTACATTAACCACAATACTTGCAGTCAAATGCAAACAAAAAATATTCTGATAATTTATCCATTGTCTTTGAAACTGATTGGTCCACACCAGAGACAGCTTTCTTTAGAGCCTGGTCTCATATGGTGTTCGACCAGATGACGCCAAAAGGCGCACAGTTCAAAGACAACGCACTACCAGAGTAATGAGAGCTCGGGGTGAGCAGCTACATCATTCTTCTCCTCCGCATTTGACTGCAAGTATTGTGGTTAATGTAAGCATGATTCCTCACAAAAGGTGTCAGTTTTTGTTGCCAGAAAAAAGGGGAAAACCCTATTAGTACATGCATTGTCGGTGCGGGGATACATTGCCCTCCCTGGTGTATTATTATAAACTTTAGGGGATGTAACCAGCTGCATGTGAGACCGTCACTGCAAGTGAATAATTACTATTCTCCCGAGATTAGACAGACATCCTCACTTCTGGTTGCTGTACACCCCTCGTATAAACTCTCTCCCAACTAATTGTATCCGGCACCGTGGATACAGAGCTCCACTCCCAATAAGCGCGAGTTCGAATCCTGCTTGAGGGCTGGGTTTACAAAGCCCACCGTACATCACTCCCTGGGTCAATATAACACGAGTATCACATTGTCGGACTCGTCACATTGACATTCTTTACAGCTGCATATCACCGGTCTTTCCGACAGACCTGTTCTTCACCTGAGGACGGCTGCTTGCGTTGTGGCCGAAACGTCGTGAGAATTATTTTATTATGTCTTATTGTTATTATTTAATTATTTCCCTTCTACGTGACTTTACCGAAAAAACCAAGAAGATAAATTATTTTATTTTACCAGGTAAGGTCAACTGAGCTGTGTAGCTCTTTTTCAGAAGCTACCTGACCCACAAATGATAGCTCAACCAAGTGGCTGATTTAGGAGCAGCCAAAATACTCTTTAAGTGCAGGTCGATTCTAAATGTGGAGGGGAAAACCGGAGGACCCAGAGAAAAATCCACGTGACCACGGGGAGAGAGACACGCAAACTCCAAATATACAGCAGGCGTCAAGAGTCGCAATCGAACCCACGACCTCCTGCATACCAGGCGAGGTAATTAACATCTTACCACCGTGCATCAGAGGTCACAACCGGGTACCCGATACCCGTACCCTACCCGATACCCGGCTACCCGTACCCGGCTGGGTACGGGTACCCGTTTGCGACCCTGGTGCGGCCGGGTACGGGTAGACCGTGAGTCACTGGTGAGTAACTGTTTGTCACTCATTTCCCAACGTCTTGTCTCTTCTCACAAATCAAGTTCCTAGAATCAACCCACCCGTGCCTGCAACATGGCTTCATCCCAGAGGTCGCAATCAGGTACCCGATACCCGTACCCGGACGGGTACGGGTAGGGTACGGGTACGGCCGGGTACGGGTAGCCGGGTACCCGTTTGCGACCCTGGTGCGGCCGGGTACGGGTAAGGAATCAAAACCCGTTTGCGACCTCTGCCGTGCATGCATGCCGTTCTAACGTTGCTGTGAACGCTGCGAGCGCCACACACCCCACCACTCACCGGACGTCTACTCGTCCACGTATTCGAAGGGCTCGGGAGCGTCCGGCTCCTTCTCCTCCTCCTCCAGCTTGGGGCCGTGCGCCGCCACCGTGTCCACCAGTTCCTCGGCGTCCTCGCTCAGATCCCGCAGGAGGATGATGCCTCCGATGGAGAGCTGCGGGTTTCGCAGACGGGCAGACGACGGGGGGATCGTAAAACACGGCCCTCGGGAGAGTCGGGAAGGCAGGGGGAGAGGGACAGCCAGCAGGACAGAGGACGTAACAGGTCCAAGGGCAAGTGGACGGACAGAGTGATGGGCAGAGGAAGACAGTAACAGATAGATATTCTTAGGTTTTTTCGGTAAATTCACGTAGGTAAAAAAGTTAAAATTAACAAAAGTAAAATAAAATAAAAAAAATAAAAATCACAACGTCGTGATTTTTTTATTTTATTTTACTTTTATTAATTTTTTACCTACGTGAATTTACCGAAAAAACCTAAGAATATGAATCCTTGCAGTCACGAAAGCTTTAAATCTAGAAGTAACAGATAGAATTATAGACAGACTGAACTTTATTTTACCAGGTAAAGCCGACCGAGCTTTTCGCTCTTTTGTTTCAGAAGCGACCTGGGACCTGGTCACGTGGAGAAATTTCTCGTCGACCACATAATCCTAACGTATGTTTCTAAATGTGGAGGGAAGAATGCACGCGACCACGGGGAGAGAGAGACATGCAAACTCCAAATATACAGGAGCAGGCGTCAGGGTCGGGATCAAACCCACGACCTCCTGTACACCAGGCGAGGTAGTTAACATCTCCTAGCCACCGCGGTGATGATGAGAGAGAGACACTCAAACTCCAAATATACAGCAGCAGGCGTCAAGGGGTGAGATCGAACCCACGACCTCCTGCATACCAGGCGAGGGCGATAACATCTCGCCCACCCACCTGCTCCGGGTATCCTTTGTGTGTATGCACGTAGACAAAGGAACAGATATTTACAGCGGGAGAGACTTGTCGAGAGAGAGAGATGGGTAGAGAAACTGACAGGATAGCCACGTCGATGAACAAAGACAATATTTTGATTTAAAGCTTTCGTGACTGCAGGGATTCATATTCTTGGTTCTTTCGGTAAAGTTACGTAGAAGGGAAATAATAAAATATAAAACAATAAAATTCTCACGACGTTTCGACTGCAACACAAGCAATCATCATCAGGTGTGAAATCCACAACAATAATTATTTTTTTCAAATTTTCTTGTGGATTTCACACCTGATGATGATTGCTTGTGTTGCACTCGAAACGTCGTGAGAATTTTATTGTTTTATATTTTTATTATTTTATTATTTCCCTTCTACGTGACTTCACCGAAAGAACCAAGAATATAAAGACAATATGTAAAAGCAAAAAGACTCGATGTTGAATCACTGATAGAACTGGAGGAATGGTGGAAGCCAAAGACAGACGGTCAGCGAGTGACCGGGTCAACACAGGCAAACGGAGGGACAGACGGATATGGAAGTCGACTGGAAGACATTGAGACGACATACTGAAACATACTGAAATCAAACAACGGAAATCACACCCCTGCAATTGCCCAGGTTTCATTTGCGGAAAAGGCAATAGGCTTAACGCGTCATCAAACTGTTCAGTGGAGGCGACGGAATCTGAACATCCTACAAGTTCTATTTTTATCTATGGTCAATGCGTCGTGTATTCTTTTACAATTTAATTGCCTGCAAAAGAACTCTGCCACTCATAGCATGACCCAGTACTCTCGTCGGACGCGCGCGCAGAACAATCGGCTGTTGACGGCCACAGACGGGGATGACGTTTGTTTGTGCAGTCTTTTCGGTTTAAAATAGCAGAACGGCGGTGCTCAGGCGGCGGTAGCGAGCTGTTAACTACCTCGCCTGGTTTACAAAAGCTCGTGGGTTCAATCCCGACCCCGACGCCTGCTGTATATCAATTTTTGTTTTCTGTCTCCCCGTGGTCACGTGGATTTTTCCCCAGGTCCTCCGTTTTTTTTTTCCTCCACGTTTTAGAATCGACGTGCGTTCAGAGTAATTTGGCTGCTATAAATGTCCACGTGAGAAGCCCCTTTTGTTGAGCGATCGTTTGCGATGGCCAGGTCGCTTCTGAAAGAGTGCTCTCCATTTCAGTGGGGCCTTACCTGGTACAATACAAACATGTTCAGTTTCGATTTAAAGCTTTCGTGACTGCAGGGATTCATATACTTGGTTTTTTCGGTAAAGTCACGTAGAAGGGAAACAATAAAATAAGGAAAGACAGCGTCTTAATCAACGCTGTCTTTCCGACAGCTGTGTTTCTTCACCTGAGGACGGCTGCTTGCGTTGTGGTCGAAACGTCGTGAGAATTTTGTTATGTTTAATTTTTATTATTTTATTATTTCCCTTCTACGTGACTTTACCGAAAGAACCAAGAATATGTTTAGTTTGAGTATAGTGCTGCTAAATCTAGGGCCCACGCCATGAGCCAAATGGTCGCGTGAGCCACAATATGACTTACCTCTCACCAAGATAACTTTTGTTCAACATCTGGGCTGTATGAGTGAGCAAAGTTGATGCCATCTGAACATTTAAAATTAAACTGTAAACTATTATTTAGTTTACTACGTAAGGCCTACTGAGCTGTATCGTGCTCTTTCAGAAGCGACCTGGCCACAAATGATAGCTCAACGAAGTGGATTATCATCACGTGGAAATTTATAGCAACCAAATCATTTAAACGCACATCGATTCTAAATTGTGGAGGAAAAAAAAACGGAGGACCCGGAGAAAAATCCACACGGCCACGGGGAGAGAGACACGCAAACTCCAAATCTTAGGATTGAACCCCTGAGACCTCCTGCATACCAGGTGACGGAGTTAATAGTCAAACTGCTGACAACAGAAGACATTATAACAAATAATGGGAATGAACTCGAGGAAACGATAACAAAACATAGCCCATCGTTAGAGGAGTTAGAAATCGCCACTTTAAGTAACGGAGATTTCACGGGGCGGCAGACTGGCAGAAGATGAGAACATCGCACCATAATAAACAAAGTTAAAATTGACCAACGCACACTGAGAAGTTCATCATAGCTTTTACCCTTTCTGGCAATAAAACAGGAGTTGTGTTAAGATGTTCAAACACAAAATATAAACCCTTTGTGCAAGGAATCCAGTTCGCACTAACCACACAGTGCTTCTTCTTGGTTCTTTCGGTAAAGTCACGTAGAAGGGAAGTAATAAAATAAAATAATAAAAATAAAACATAATAATATTATTCTCACGACGTTTCGGCCACAACGCAAGCAGCCGTCCTCAGGTGAAAACCAGGTCCGTCGAGGCGACAGAGTCTGAATGAAACAGCACACGAGCTTGGAGCATATATATAAGCTGGGCGCATTGACAAAGGAATTTGCATATCAAGAGGAATTTAGCATATTTATGGGAAGTGCAGGAATGTGATTAGTACTGCATATGCATGTGCATTATGCAGGATTGATGCTGTTAATCCTGCATAATGCACATGCATATGCAGTACTAATCACTAATCACATTCCTGCACTTCCCATAAATATGCTAAATTCCTCTTGATATGCAAATTCCTTTGTCAATGCGCCCAGCTTATATATATGCTCCAAGCTCATGTGCTGTTTCATTCAGACTCTGTCGCCTCGACGGACCTGGTTTTCACCTGAGGACGGCTGCTTGCGTTGTGGCCGAAACGTCGTGAGAATAATTTTATTATGTTTTATTTTTATTATTTTTATTATTTTATTACTTCCCTTCTACGTGACTTTACCGAAAGAACCAAGAAGATGAATCCCTGCAGTCACGAAAGCTTTAAATCAAAATTTCACACAGTGCTTGTGGTGAACATGCAAACAAACACGTGGCTCTGATAATAAATGCGTTGTCTTTGAAACTGATTGGCCTACACCAGAGACAGCTGCCTTCTTTATGGCCTCGTCTCACCACCAGTGTCAGAGCAGAGAGCAACGCAGAAAGGCGACCAGTACAAGGCCAATGCCAGATGTATCAGAGCATTTCGAGCTCGGGGTGAACAGCAGCTGTATAATGGGATACACCGAGAAGCGTGGTGAAGTATGGTCAACCCCCCCCCCCCCCCACCAAATACGACCTGGAATGACAAGTGAGTTCCCCGTGAAATAAGCGTTGCGATTATTGTTACCGGTGATTTGTACATCTCATTTACACACGTGTCATTTTGGGCCCCGGAAACAGCAGGCAAAGGTAATGGGACGCTGTACGAGTGATGTGTCACGGGGTCTTCAGCATCCACCAAATAGCAAACAGGTGCTCGAGTAAATGCCTTATAAACCCACCGGGTACGAATTAAAGCAGTCGGAGCTTCAATCGACGTGTAAATTTGCATCACCAGTTGAACGCTCAGAACACGTCTGGCGTGTTACGTAGGAAAGAACCGAATGAAATCCTCACGCGATGTATTCCATAAACTTCAAATACAATGTTCGCTTCGAAGACAATGTTAGCAGCGGTAAAAAAATATATATGTAAAAATAAAAAAAGGCTAAAATGCATTGGCTAGAAGACTTTACCACCGTCATCCACCGACAACTGCATTTACACCGAAAAACAAGGATGAACATCAGCGTATATTGGTGTTTAAAGGCCCTTCTTCAGAACGGATGTACAGGGTGCTTCAAAAAAATGTTGACACTTATATGAGACTATCGTTTTTACACTGTGACATGTTAACAAGTGTAATGTTAATAGCTTCAAAAAGTCTACACTTGTTCGCCATCGTTGTCAATGCGTGCCTGGAATCTTCTCCAGGTGGTCTCTAGAGCCCAGAGGCACACTTGTGGTACTGTTGCAAATTCTCAGAAGTATTAAAAAAAAATTTAAGCACCCTGCATAACAAAATAAAAAAAATGGAGAGCGTCAAAAACTTCCAGCGTCTCCACGCTTAAAAAATTAACCCGTAAAAACAAAGTTTTTCACTATAAATCCTTTATATGCGTGGCATTGGGGCGGCTAGAGTCCTCTCGTCCTCTGGTTTGAGATGGCTACCACCTATGGGTCAGATGATTGTGTGCCAGCATTAACCAATTGGTAAATAAATATTTTAAAAAAGTTCCCTAAACAGTGTAAAATTTTGGAAAAAAACTTCACGAAA